TCCCAACATAATTCTCTTCATATTTTCAGATTTAAGTAACCTATACCTATGAGATTTCTTGGAATAAATCTCTCTCTCCCCCTCTCTCTCTCAATATATATATATATATATTGATAGATAGATAGATAGATAGATTGATAGATAGATAGATAGATAGATAGATAGATGCCTTACACTTTCAGTTTCTAATAGGTTTTGTATCATATAGTTTTGCTGAATTTATATTTTGCCTGTCCTAATTACTATTTATTATAAAAGCATATTTGAGCTCCAGCGGCCTGTTTTACTGTGGGATTACCCTGCGAGCTGCCTATACACAGTGTCAGTACTGAATCAAACAGCAGGTGTGCACCCAGCAAAGGCAAGAGAGACAGCGAGCACAAAATGTCAACAAATAGAAGAATATCACCCAGTTTGTCGATCACACTCAGGAGTCGCATGAAAAAACTGTAGCGGGAGTCTTCAAGGCCCTCCCAGCTGACAGGAGGAGCAGTGCCGGATAAAGGAGGAGGCAGAGAAGAGAAACTAGGCCCTTTACAAAGAACCACCGAGCGAACCCATCTCCAGCTGTCACAAATCATTTCTGCTCAGGAAGTGAGGGGAGGCGAAATGTCAAAATATTTGAATAAATTCCACAGAAGCCTGTAGAGAGCAGGCGGTGCAGAGGGAGAGAGGGGATTGTTGGCACCAATGGGGTAGAGAGGATGAGCGGGCTGGGGGAGAGAAGGGAAAAGAGGAGGGTTTGAATGCAAAACAGCCCTCAGCTCTCAGGACGAACAAGGAAATCAAAGGTTGGGCACTGCTAAGAGATTTTGGTTCATTTTCATTTTTACCCTCTTTTACCCTCTTTGGTTGATTGGTAGCTAGTATATATATATATATATATATATATATATATATATATATATATATATATATATATATATATATATATATATATATATATAGATAGATAGATATATAGATATATATATATATATATATATATATATATATATATATATATATATATATATATATATATATATATATATATATAGGTGAGTGACGCTCTTGTTAATTCAATAAATACATTTTTTCAATGATTTTGTTAATAATTTATATTAATTCAACTGGAATATTGATTAAGTGTTTTGGATGAAAGACACAATGTAAAAAAAAAAAAGCCCAGATTTTTTAAATGTTTTATTGTTAAAGGTGCACCTGTTACAGCTGTAATTGAATAAATATAAGATACACTTTAAATAACACAACAATCAACACACAGTTCATGATTTTAATGTTTCGCCCCTTCAGCTGTCTCTGTCTCTCCTCTGTTGTTAGTTTAATGCCAAACTTTGGAACATTCCAGGCAATGTAATTACATATTCATGGAGACAAGCAAGTGGCAGACTACAAACCAGAAAAGTTACATAGTACATCTTTAAATACAATATAGCCAAGTGGTATTATCATAGTATTTATGTTACTGTTTTAGTTTTGCAATAATGTGGGCAGATTCATTGTGGAAAGTTTTACAACTTTTAAAAGCTTATAGAGGATTTGTTGTTCCCTCATGTGGACATATTCTATCATTATCATTGTATCTAAGACTCCCACCTTGGCCTCTTCTTATTAATATGTATGACGGCAGGTGAAGAGTGAGTTAAGGACAGGTTGTGGTGATAAAAGCTTTGATGATGCTTGTTTGTTTAAAGTCTCTAAATGCATGTTGTAGATGGAAAGAGTGCAGCTCCTCTCTTTGTTTAGATGATCCCAAAGGTGCATTGGAAGTCGTGGGGTCAGTCTCTCCTCTGTCTCTTGGAACACTGTATTTAATTAGGCCTATAATCAGCCGCTAAGCACACAATAAAATCAGGTCATCTCTATCTGTTTACCCCACACACATATATAGACTGCAAATTTGCATGTATTTGTTAAAAATACAAATAAACATTTATCAGGCATAAAGATCAAGGTCATGACTCCTCTTCACACCCGATACACTGAAACCAATTAAACTAAAGTTCAGATGGAGGACGGGCACTACAAAACAATAGCAGCTGACATCGTCCCCACTATCACAACGCAGAAGTAATTATATTTGTAGATTTCATCATTAAGACTAAAGTGTTTCAATCAGCTGGAAAATGTAAAAAAAAACAAAAAAACACAAAGACTGTTGAAATGTGTGGGATCTGTATCGTATGCATTCCATTTTCAATAACAATTTTGTGAAGGTCGTAACTTTCTTTAAAACTTCAAAGTCAACAAAAACTCATCAGACATTTAGTGATATGGAGTAGCATATGGATGTTGAATGAATTATATTAGAATCCACACAATACAACGGCAATCTAAGGTGGAATGTAGAGGCATTTGCCCATATACCCAGATGAATTCTAGTTATCCTTTCCTACTTGAAAGATATGTTGCTTTACTGTGTTTCCTATAGACCTTATCCACATTGATTCTTGTACAACTTAATCCATGTTACTGAATCCACATGCACAGTAAGTCCCTCTTTACTGTGTTATACTGTGTAAATAACACATTTGTACCACACCTTTTCAAATGCCACTGTGGCTTTACCTCAGTTGTACAATGTAAAAGTGAATATTTTTCAACAACAAGGACTCTTTTGCTGTCAATCATCCACCGAGGCCTGGACTTCCCTGCACCGTTGACATACCTATATGCATAAAACATGCCAAGGTGTCAGATACATTTAAATATTTCTGAATAATCAGCATTGAGCCATCTGGCAGTCACTTTAATAGTGACCACTGATCTGCCAGTGTTAAATTATACAATTACAATAATATGTTAAGATCTATTTATACATCACATGTTCCGGGTATATTTTTCCCTGGTGTCAGCTTGTACGATGCATTAAATAGGACAATAACATATGTGTGCTTATTTCTTGGCAACAGAATTCAATAAGAGGTTATCTCAAGTGCAAGGCTTTCTATCAGTGCCTCAATCTAAAGAAGGATGGGCAGCCATGCCTGGGTATTCTCCAATCCTCCAGAGACGATTCCCCATGTGGTGCTGCTCAAATACAGCTGGGAATGAAGTGTGCGCATAAGGCTACATACAAGAAATATCCAGCCTCAGTGCACCAACAGAGCAACTGCACAGTGGGTTATTTAACTGGCTTTTGACAGCTGGAGCTCTGCAGAGAGGTGGTCAATGCACACATTATAGTGATAAAGAAAAGTATTTGAGTTTTTTTTATAACACAGAAAATAATGTATCTACTTTAACAGTTTATTTTAAATGTTTCATTTATTAGACATATTTTATAAATGAATAATTTTAAATAAATATTGATTTATGTCATGACAACCATTCTGACTTTTCTTAACTAAACACTGTACTAACTGACACATGTAACATCAATCTTTTTGAGATTACATTCAAACACACATTACATTATTTTGGTCAGTACAAGCAAATTGCATATTGACAATAAGAAAGCACTCAAGGCCTATAATTTTGCCTAGAGGAGTTTTACTAAATTGTTTACACAAATAGTTTTGACCATAATATAATAACTGTAGTGCATCCTTGTCAGAGTCATTTTATTTCACATGTAATTTTCAATATTGAATAAAATAAAATGTGTATATATTTGTTGCAATCTTGCATATTTAGAACAAGGTTTACCTAAATAGTTACATTATAGTAAAAATGTGATTACTTGAGTTCAAATTGAACCTATTTAAACCTGTAATCATTTGGCAGTGGTTTCTTTTTCTTGAGCAGTATTGGTAGAAGCCCTTTGTGAGTGTTGTGGTGGGTGAGTCCACTCCTGGATTTGCATGTTAGTGTGCTGGAGCGTGTGCATATGTATGTGTGGCACAGTGGACCAGAACAGCTCTGACAGAGGCTGAGAGCTGCTCGCTGATGCCTGCCTGGAGAAGCTCTGACAGCGCCTTGGCCTGTCAATCATGGAGCATGCCCACTAGACTCACATCCACATCATCCCGTCTTGTTAACTCCACATGCAGCTGCCTACTGTTTATACACTGTCTATGTGTGTATTAGAATCAAAGGAGAAGCATGCTTTGCTTTAATAGGGTTTCTGTGTCACAGTCAGATGGGCCTGTTTCACATCAGTTCACCAAAAAGTGACCAGATTTTGTACATGCACTACTAAAAACATTGTAGAAACAGCATTAAAGAAAGATGTTAAGTAGTATTTGAAAAGGCACTTTAAATAACCCCGAAAGCTTAGTTAACACCATCTATTCCTGTAATTCAGCATTGTGGGTTGATTATATAAGCTCTGATAAAACAGCTACATTTTTATGATTTACTTTAACATTCATTGTGTTTAACCTTCATGCTATGTATCAAAACATGTGCAGTCACTATAATCATCACATAAAGCTTACTTTTATGGGGGCCTGCCACTTGCTTGCCTCAATGGACATGTATTCAGTTACAATTTTTATTGCTGCAAAAAAAAAAAAAAAAAAAAAAAAAAAAAAAGAGAGAGAGAGAGAGAGAGAGAGAAAGAATAAATAAAACCGAAAATGAAACTTGGATTTGTGGTGTTTTATTATATTATTACATTACATTATGTCCATTCCATGGTTATAGATGTTTAATGCCAGACTGTGGAACATTCTGACTTGCCCAAGGACACATCAAGCTTGTTAACCTTCCTGAAGACAATTCTCACACAAGTGGTCACTGTCACACTATTATATATTCACTTCATCTGCTTCACACATACTGATAACTATCTAACATGCAAAATCCACACAGAAAGGTTTGATTTTAAAAAGTGCATATATGCAATACCATTTGTATTACAATACCAAGTGGTGGTTATTTATTTATTTATATATTTATATTTATTTATTTATTTAACTGATCCACGATATTGGTCCTCCCATAGACTTCATAAAGTTTATGGTTCTTTGCGTTACTTCTTTAAAAACTACAACACCCAGAATCCCTTTCGATGGCAAAGCGGATGTTGATCCTTTCCAAGTACACGACACGAATGTGGCTTTTACGTGCCCTGTGATAGTTCGTCTATTTTAAGCTTTAGGTAGATTTTCTGTCAAACTGCGTTCAAAGAAAACAGATTTGACGGCAGTAAGTCACAATACAGCACTTGAAATAGTTCGGCTTATCAGTCGCGGATGTGTGATTTTGTTTTTGATGTTTCTTTTAATTCCTTTTATTTCTGGATTGTTTTCTCCCACTATTTATGAAGACAACAAAGGTAAACGCTGGGAATTCGGTTTGGTTTGTGAAATCTCCTAAACAAGGACGGGGGTTATTATTGCTTATGTATGCATCTTTATTTTATTTTATTTTTTACATTTATTTTTTCAATATCGTGATTCTACTAACACATTGTGAGGTTTGTGTGCTTTGTGTTACGGAAGTTAGCCTTAGCTGCTATGTTTTGACAGTTCTCGTTGCTGTGATCTGCTAGCTAACACACTAGGTGATTTGCTAATTTGCGTGGTTCTAATGATAAAACTAAGGTAATGGCACAGCTTATTATGGATTTAAGGATAATAAGAGGTTAACGGTTCCGTTTGTTTGTGTGGAAAGTAGTTGATAGGCTATCAATCAGCATAAGCTAACACTAAAGTGACCACTGCGTTTGCTCCCTTAGTTGGCTTCTGTCTGACATATATTTTGTTCTGTGTTCAGCATGGGGTTTACAGTCTTGCTGCATGTTGTACTTTGCATATGCAGTACTGCGAAAATAAACTGGAAAGTAGACATGCTGTTTTGTGTATGTATGAGTTAATGGTTTGTGGTGTGACTCTGGAAACTCATCTAGGAAATACAAGGCTGTATTGTGTGTTAAGTTAATGTGTTAACTTAATATATAAGGGGATGTTTCGTTTGCAGTATGTTTAAAATTTAGACAACGTGCTACCTTGTGAAATTGTTACTATTGGTATTCAGCTCCTAACTGTTGTGTGTTTGTTTCTGCCTAACCCCACAGGTCATGCATGCATCCAGGCCCCTCATCTGTGCTTTGTACAGCCATCCTGCCAGCGTGCTTCCTATAGGAGGAGCTTTTGTCTCCCTTTAGTCTGCATTTCTCTCCACAGTCATCTGCCTCAGACTTCCCTATGTTAACTCTTTTGAGCATGTTTTACTATATCTGTCTGCGGCGGCGCTCCAGGAGTGGGACTCGTGGGGAGGCGCTGACCAGTCGTCGGGCTGTGGAGTCGGGCCAGAGGGCAGTGTTGCCCGTCAGTGTGGAGGTGGAGCAGTATGCCAAGGAGGTGCTGGACTTCAGCTCCCATTATGGCAGTGAGAACAGCATGTCTTACACTATGTGGAATCTGGCCGGAGTGCCCAATGTTTACCCCAGCTCAGGGGACTTCACCCAGACAGCCGTGTTCAGAACCTATGGCACATGGTGGGAACAGTGTGCCAGTGCCCCACCACCTTTCAGACGCATCCCTAAAGACTTCTACAGCCAGGATTACATAGAGCTAGCATTTGAGGAGCCTGTTTATCCCACCTCTGTAGAAGTGCTTGAGACTTATTACCCAGGAGCCATTGTCCAGATCCTGGCCTGTTCCCACAACCCCTTTTCTCAGAATCCACCCATAGATGTCAGGTAAAAACATGAGGTTGAAATAGAAAATGGAGTCAATACTCATCTTCTGTTGCATAATATATAATGTGATATTAGATATTATTGGTAAATATATATACCATGAAACTGAGTCAGACGGATATAATATGGCGCTTGATATAATTTTGCTGTTTTTAGGTGGGAGGTGCTCTGGTCAGGAGAGCCCACCAAAGCACTGACACCTCAAGCACGGCAGTTTGCACCAACTATAAAACACATCAACTTCCCCACTAACCTGCTGCGCCTGGAGGTCAATAGCTCTCTACTGGACTACTACACAGAGCTGGATGCTGTCATTCTTCGAGGTGTGAAGGAACGGCCCATGCTGGCCCTCTATAAGTTGCCTATTATTGACATTAATGACCTGAGTGACAGTGAAGAGGAGCTCTCTGATGCAGGGGCCCCATTTAGACAAGAGGACGAGAGAACAGGGAATGGTTACTTTGACAAACTCCCGTATGAGGTAAACAAAAATACTAAATTAAATGTGTTGAATATGTTTCTTCATTAAAACCTCTGTCATGCAGTTGTATTTGCAATGCTACCCCTCATAGTTTTTTTCTGTTATTATAAATGCATGTGGCTTTTAATCCATTTGACACTGACATGTCTTCACTATCACAGTCATTTTCATACCTTAATGACATGTTGTTTGAGAAGAGGCCTTCAAAACGGCACCAGTGCTCCTGCTATGTGTCCTCTTATCTTCCCTCCAAACCACTGCCATTAACAGCAGTCTTCACAACTGTGGTGTGTGTTTGTCTCAGGAACACAATATAGCTATTATCTGTCAGCTGATACCCGCTTCAACACAGTGTATTGTTAATTCACTGCAACAAACACTCACACAAGCACTGTCATTCTTTCTCATCAAGAGGTGCAAAAACATGGTGCAAAACAAGCCAGCTCTCCTCCTCAATGATCCTGCTATCAGTGCTTTGTGTCCTAGATAACGACTATTTAGATGCCTGACACCGGGAGCACAATTATCATTCTCTGCTCAATACTCATCTGTTCTCCTTTTTTCGTTAGTTGTACCTTTCTCTGAAACCCTCTAATTTATTCTGACCCTCATCGTTTCACCTGTAAACAAATCCTTTTCTTTCTCATGTCCCACTTGTAGCTCATTCAGTTGATCTTGAGCCACCTGACCCTGCCGGACCTGTGCCGTCTGGCCCAAAGCAGTAAGCTGCTACAGCAGCACTGCTGTGACCCTCTGCAGTACACCCAGCTCAGTCTGCAGCCATACTGGGCTCGTCTAAACGACGCTTCACTGGGACACCTGCAAAACCGCTGCACTCTGCTCCAGAGGCTCAACCTCTCCTGGACCGGCCACAGGGGGGCTCTCACGCTCACAGGCATCAGCAGGTCTGCCTTCACACAGACAGACCACTAATGACCTTGGAGGACTGGCTTATATTTGCAAACACAGTTTGTGAAAAGAAGGACTGAGACGAGTAAATGAAGGCCCATTACAAACATTTTCTACTGTGTGAAATATATGAATAAATGTCATAATGCATATTATTGTTTCAGTGAGCAACAGTAATGTTTTCTGTTCTCATTTAGCTTCCTGAAGGCATGTGGGCAGAACCTGGTGTGCCTAGAGCTCTCGTGCTGTCACTTTTTGAATGAGGCGTGTTTGGAGGTGGTGTCTCAGACCTGTACACGGCTGCAGGAGCTCAACCTGTCGTCATGTGACCGCCTCAGCCCTCAGGCCTTTACACACATCTGTAAATTTGCTCATCTGCGCAGGCTGGTCCTCTACAGAACCAAGATTGAGGTCAGACAGCAGAATGTGTTTCAGTCTTTATATTAAAATAAATGACAAAAGCTGGTCTGCCATTCAGGCATGATTACAGAGCAGAAACCCCAAACCTCTGCTTGGCATGTGTTTTTTTAAATAGGGGCTGTATGTTGAGGTTTTTTTTGTAGAACATTTTTTCTGGCACAGACCTGCTCTCAATGTCTCCTAAGGACACACTCTGTACTTGTTCAGGCTGGGGCAGGTCTTGTGTTAAACCTCGTCTTGTGTTGTCAGCGTTGCATTTCTCCTGCACTTGGACAGGAGGTGGTGTTGGGTTTCTGTGGTGGAGCCAGGCTGCACACTCCAGGTTGTTTATACTGAGGAAGACAGAGGCAGGCTGTGTGTCTGACATCTCGGCTGTCATTGCCCTGTCACCGCTCTAATTAAATGGCTGGCTTTTGCCGGAGAAAGGCGTTTATAAAGATGCCAGCGACAGAGTCAAGCACGTGCGCTGCAAACACACAAGAGGCTTCCGCTTTCATGTCTGACACTTTCTCTGCCACTGAGGTACATGTGTTGGCAGTTGTAGAGTTGGATTCCCATATCTCTATCCAAGCTGTATGGCCACTAGAGACGCTCCTGTGGCTCAATGTGTGAGGGGATGCAAAACAGTGTGTTGTATTAAATCCTCTACCAGTGGCAGAGAGACATTTAACAGACATGACTGGTCTAGTGTATGGAATAAATTCATGTTTATCTTCATTTTGCTGCTCCCACATCTCCCCATAGACACTGGTAGGAGTGTGCAATGGGATGATATATTTGATCTGAACTCAAAAGCTTACTGATAGTGCCGTCATCCTTATATTACAAAATTATTTTTAATTGGTATAATGGGGTAGTGTAGTACACAAACATGACTGGGCAGGAGGAATTGGCTTACTTATCAGTTACTTTAATTTGAATCCTATGGTAGGGTATATAAAATAAATAAATAATAAAATAATTTGTGAGGCCTCATAGTACAGATTATGTATTTGTGTGATTTATATAGTGCATGCTAAGTTAAAATCTTTGTTTTGTCTCTGTTGTAGCAAACTGCTATCTTGAGTATCTTGACTTTCTGCGTGGAGCTGAGACATTTAAACCTTGGGAGCTGTGTGAGGGTATGAACTTCACAAACTTCAATGACAATCCATATAATGTAGCCATAAGAGATTTGTAGTATGCATGTAAGTTGTAGAATCAGCAAGCCTGAGTAGTTCTGCTTGAATTGGTGTAACAGCATTGCATAGGCTGGGGGTAGTCTAATGTTGACTTGACAACAAAACTGTATAATATTTCCTCTCTTTTAAAGATTTAATATCTCTCCACTGCTAATGTTCAATGTTGGCTGTCTTGGCATGGTCCTCACACTGGTGTTTGGCTGTTAAATTGCATTTCTCTCCTTTCGTCTTTGGATGAAAGGCTGAAATATGGCCAACATTACCTGACACCAAAGAACAATAACCGTGTTGAACACAAATCAAGTCTTGAAAGACTTTTTTTGGTTTAGGTGGTCTCTGTCAGAGCTTTGTTCTCAGTCTGGTAGCGGGCTATTGTGCCTCGGACATGCCAGCTCAGTTAATCAAGTCACATAATCGCTACATTTCAAATCTTTTACACAAAAATAGCCAAAGGCAGACTACTTCATTTTCTTCTCAAAGAGTTATTTTTCTCCTCTCTAAAGTACAGAAGTTTTAATTGCCACCTTTCTTTTCTGAAGATTGACGACTATGACGTTGTTGCCAGTATGCTGGCCACCCGCTGCCACTCACTCTCCTCTTTGGACCTCTGGCGCTGCCGAAACCTGACAGACAGAGGACTGGCTGAACTCGCCTCTGGGTGCAAGTAGGAAACATCAACCTTCTTATGACAAATAATCTGAACCACTTAAAATAGTCTTTCATTATCTTTTTGATAGTTAATATGTGTTATGTGGACATATAAACCGTTGAAACAGTGACTGATTTTTTTTTTTCTTTATATAATGATTTTGATTTCAAAAGGTGCACACTATTTACGCATAATGTCTATGTAAATTTTTCCTGTCATCCTTATGTTTTTAAAACCATTTTGTAAAATACTAGTAATGTATATCGCGTAGTAATCTCATTTTGTCTTTCTTGACACTTTTTTCTTTGGAAAACTTATATATTATAATTATATATTTTTATCATCTGTAGATCTTAACAATGAGATTCAGTATAGATTAATGTATTTGATCAACCAAAAACTAAATCTGCTTAAATATGCAGTAAAGTGCTGGTAACTAAACCATGAACATAACTCCTGAAAAGTCTACATGTCTTATATGTTGCCAGGTTGCTGGAGGAGCTGGACCTGGGCTGGTGTCCCACTCTCCAGAGCAGCACTGGTTGTTTTCAGCAGCTGGCCCGGAGTCTGCCCCGGCTCCGTAAACTCTTCCTCACTGCCAACCGCTCCGTGTGCGACTCTGACATTGAGGAGCTGGCGAGCTGCTGCCCCTCTCTACAACACCTCGACATACTCGGTAAACACCTGCCTGACATCATATCAACAATACCTGTAGAACCAACTATTATTGCCAAGTATTTGTATGAAGGACAGTTTTCTGCACAGCCGGCATCATCCGCTATTGAACAGTTTCAGTATGTTACCTTATTTGGGGAATGTTTCTGAAGCACAAAGTTGTGTTACAAAAGCATACATTATTAATATTATATTAAAATTTACAAAATACCACTTGCCAAGACTATTTGCATTTGCACTAGTAGTGTTGACACTGCAGCCAATGTCCCAGACACTAGTAACAAGCTCTTGTGCTGCTGGGCCAAATTTGTGATAAATGATACAAGAGAAGCACCAGTCCTGTATGCAAACAACAATAACTATGAACTTAATGACTGGGGTGCCTGAGAGAAAATCAGAAAAGCTCAGTCAGTAATGATAGTCAATGAGATGAAAGCAGTAATATTGGACAAAAGGAGGTGATATTACATTTTGATAAACATACTGTATGTTGTTGTGTGTGTGTGTGCTCATAGGTAAGCAGTTGACTGAATGTGTATCTGTTTAGGGACACGTCTAGTGAGCTCTGCTTCGCTGAAGAAGCTCCTCCAGGCCTGTCCTCGGCTGCGGCTGTTGGACGTCTCTTTCTGCTCCCAGATCGACATGCGTGTGGTCCAGGAGCTCTCCGGACAGTTCCCCAATGTTTCCATAAAGAAGAGCTTTACACAGTGATCTCAGAATCTGCCAACAACAGGAGGTTAGTGGAGCAAGAGTGCTTACCAGCTGACACTGCCTGGACAATGACAAGGCCAGTGGATGGTTGAGTACCTTGGGTTTTATATTCAGTAATTGAATGTGATTGACTCTTTAGAGACAATTTTAGTATAAATAACTGGCTCTAAAATTATATTTTTTTTGTTTAAAGTAAAGGTGATGGTGATTTGTCCTGGAAGTAATTTCACATTATTATTAGGAGCACAAAAGTAAGAATAGAGAAGCATGAAAGCACTCATAAACAGGACAAACAGCTGTGCTTGCAGGTCTTCAGAAGGTGCAACAACTTTAACTTGATTCATAAGAGTGAGATCAAGGCATTTATCAACATTGCATTCTGTGATACTGTGGCAGTGTGGATTTTCAGTGCACCCAAAATATGTCTGAATGCTATGGCAAACTGTTGAGTTAACCATTCTCTTGCTTATTAAATCAATCCAATTCTTGCTGATTGAAAATAAATTGTATTTAAAATATAATTTTTTGAGTATGCTGAAATAATAAAAATGGAAAAGTGTGGAAAAGTGGAATCTGTTTTGCCAGTGAAATTCAAATTGAAACACGATGACACACACAAGTGGCTGTTGCCTTGATGATGATGCACTAGTCACACCCATTATTATTCATTGGATTAAATCATTTTTATGAAAAAAAAAGAATAAATTATCATGGTCATTACTTTTGTAATCAAACTAAAATAAATTAATAAACAGGTAACAACAATAACAGTATATCTTTTTATCTATATAATAATAATAATAATAATAATAATAATACAATTATTATTATTATTAAGTTCAGATACTTCAGATACTTTTGCTACTCTTGCTCAGTCTGTGAATGCCTTAAATTTAGACCTTGATAAACAAATGGCAAAACTGTTCTTCCAAAGCCAACAGTTTAAACACTAAAGATGTATTGTGACTATTACTCAGGGGTTAGACCTTATATTTTGTGTTATTTTTTTTCTCCTAAAACCAGCACATTACAGTGACTTGAGTTCACTTTGCGTTTACCTGCTGGCGGAGTGGCATTACTACAACACAAAGAACATACACAGGTGTTGAGTTAGCACTGATTTTATTATCATTGAGTCAATGTGACTGAATGTATATAAAAAAACAAACAAAACAAAACTTGTTGACTGTTGTATTAAAATATACAACCTCTTTCTTTGAAACACAAAACTTGAAATGAACTTGAATTTCTTTTTAGGAAGTTAAAATGTTTGTGCCTTATCTTTTGAATGTGTTGCTTTTGGTGTTGAAATTGTAGTGCTTTGTTTTATGCTCTTTAACCAAAGTTAAATGTCACATACTGTCTTTCATCTTTGTGGCTTTGTATCCAAAATGAGGTATATTTATTTTTGTGTAATGATGCTTTATTTAAATCAGTATTTCATGTTCATGTAGAAATATATAATTTTGTTATTCTATTGCTCTTTTGTAATCTTTGATTTGACTGAAATAGCATTCAATTCACACTCAACAATCAACTGTTGATACTTCTCAAGTAAAATCATTTTGGCTTAAGTTTAGATTGCTTTTTTTTCCCTAAATTTACCTGCTAGTTGTTGTTAAAATATAAATATTTAATTTTTCAGTGGGAAATGGTTATAAACAAAGTGGGATTGGTGGCTGAATGCTGTAAGCTAAGCCTGGTCCGTATTTTTCATGCACAAACATGATTATTTTAAGAATTTCAATCACGTCTTGAACCAAATATTACTACTATTTGGTCGTCTCCTTGTATTTGTAATGTATTTATGCCTATTGTGAACACATGTTGTCATTGGCCTTCTTATGGTTGCCCACATGTGTGACTTTCTCTACACTCTAAATAGGTGAGCCACTGATTTTAAATAAATGGAAAATGATGATTGCTGCTAAAGAATCTATTTTTTCTTCTTGTGTATAATCCACTTAAAAGGTTGGGCGCAGTTGTAGCCTTGTCCAGTGACTATTTCTGCTGTACAGTAAATATTATTATTGTAATACATCTAGGCTTCAAAAGTACAACAGTAAGTGTGAACAAGTGGCAAGTACATTCACAACTAGCCGCGCGATTACTCAACATGACTGATTCGCTAGTTGTTGTGGAATGATCCTTTTTCTCTCCCTTTAACCCTCTGCCATTTTACAGTCTATTAATACCAGCGGGAGAAGTGGCATTAGCCTGTCTTCTTAACGACCTTTTAATGAATTGTTTATGCCTGGTTTAATGATGTATATTGTGGCCCTGTAATGTGCCCTAATCGCGGCGAACGAGGCTGAAGTATTAATTTGGACTGCCTCCCCAATGATTATTCTTGCTTATGCTGGTGTGGCTTTACAGATGCAAGGCGTGATTCATAGCAGCTTGATTTCTGGCTGTCACGGTCCTCTACAAGCCTGATATATCCAGAGGGGATCTGCTGCAATTAGTTGAACGTTTTATTTGTCTTTCAACAAGCTTACACACATACAGAGAGAACCCGGGGATGGCTCTGCTAAGGGAATAAATGGATAGAAATGCAGACCCTGAATAATCAATCTTACATTAAATGCAAACCAGGGAGAGGGTTGAGGGGTAGTGCAAGGTTCCTGTCTATCTCCCCTTTTTTAAGAACCACAACAGATGTATTTGTAGATGTACTGTACCTCAGTGAAAATGGTCTATGGTGCAAACTTGCTTCAGGAAAGTCAAGATGTGGTACCTGCCATTCTTCAGCTTGATACTCCCCTTTCTGAATATACCTCATCAAACATAATAAGTGAAGCTAGTTATTTGTACTTTCAAATGACAGAATGAACCCTTTTAAACATGCATAATTAAGACAAAACCCATTTTTAAGTCATGTGAGCCAAATAATTTGGAGTAGAATAAACGTAATGTCATTGTATCATTTCCTCTTATTTCTCCATTTATTTTTAGTGTAATAATGAAGCCACCACATCAGCCTGGCACCATAGCATCATGTTGTTTTCTTTACAAAGATATCAAGAATGTCACAGTAGATTTTCTGCAGATCCGCCAATGTAGTTTTCAGTGCTGTTAGTGTGTCTTTTTGGCTAAGTTTAAATCCAGAAGGATAAAAGTTGCAAACAAAGATAATGCCTGTAACATTTACGCGTCTTGGATTGAGATCGATTTATCTGCGAAACAACAGCCCTGTGTCTTATTGTCAGCAAACACCCACTCTTTCTAAGTGGCATTTAAACGTGTCATACTTTAAACTTGTTTTGTACAGAAGCACGTTTGCGATTGCTTTGTTTTATTTGGTGAAACAAATAAGTAGTAAAACCTGTGGCATTTTAAAAGGCATTTGTTGTTTTTTCACTGACACAAATTCTTTTTTGATTTACAAATATATACTGTGATTGGATTTGAACGGCTATTGCAAATCCATGTTCTCATTACATGTAAATAACTTGACTTGGTTCAGTTCTTTTTGAGGATTGAGGTTTTACAGAACATAAAGGGAAAATGGGTCACAAACTCTTTGTGCTGATACAAACCCATGGAGATTGTAGTTTGAGAAAAAAAATGCTGTTCAATATGAAATCACTGCACTAAAAGTAAAAAAAAAAAAATCTAATAATTAAAGTGTAGGCCTATATAGATTAGTTTAAAGAATAGAGAGAACATGCATTGTGGGCCCACCTGGTTTGGACTCGAATCCCAGAACCTTTGTTACACCCCTGGATCCACTGAAAGTAGATGCGCAACCAAGCTATGTGCTCTGTCACATGTGTAGTGGGTTTCCATTCTTTACTTTTCTTTTCTTTTTCTTTTCTTTTTTTATCTAAAACTGAGAAGCCATTGTGTTTTTAATCACAACAATCCCAGGCACCTTTTGTGGGTTCTTACTTAACGGGGGGATTTGATCACTTTAAGTTGTCTAAATGTGTACTTTTCACTTTGTAAGGCATATAATAGTAAAGAGTATTTTATATTAATTAAATCTTCATGGTGTTTCTAGCTTACTTTTTTCATTCCACATTTTATTTAAATCATTTGAGTTGACTCGATGTAAATCACAAAACCATGGAGCACTCACAAGAAACGAGCACCAGTGAAATGTCCGTGCCAGAGGAGAGGAGCGTGTATCACAAACAGGCCGTGGCACAATTATAGCCTGAATAATTACGTGCTGAAGGGGAGACACGACGCGCCCCAGTGATCAGCAAAGTTCATGTGAAGTTATAATTAAACAATAACTCGTTTACAAATGAACGCACACCCGCATTTGTGTACTTAAGTGTGCGCTGCGTAATTAGCCGCGATGCATCTAAGCGAGATTGAAGAACAACAGTGTCAAATGGTGGAATTATATTGAGCTTGTATCTGTGGCAGACTGTGTGGGGGAGAGGAGGAGGAGACTGAGGGGCTGATGGATACAATGCCAGCCACTTACATTGGCACCACTGATTCAGTTTTTATGTGGATAATTTTGTGCTGGTAGTTTTGGAGAATCTCTGCCCTCAAGATCTTATTTACACCTACAGTTTTTACCTGCGCTGAACTGAGATTGAGAAAGATTTGAGCCACTTGATGCATTCTTTTTGTTCTGAAATTATTGTTAATTGCTGAAAGGTAATTTTCATATTAGTCCTTCTTTATTGTGACCTAACAAAAAATAAAAATTTACATTTTTGCTCATATGATCTTATTTGTGTGTCATATTTTTGTTGTGTAATTATGAAATTAATGATCAAATAATGTTTTTTTTTGTAATGTGATTACAATTCTTGTTTTACATTTAAATAGGTCTAATGTCATTTAAATTAATAAAACATTAAAAAGCTTTCTTTGCACAAGCTGCCATTAATTGAGACCAGTGTAAGTTCAATTCATTTGTCACACAGTTTCAAAAACAATCAGAGAAAATCTAGCAGAGAATCAACCAAAACCCAGTTGAATAATATTTGCCTGGATTTTTAGACAGATGAGTCAGAATGAAATCCTATTGATAACCTACAACATAATGTATGTGGCATTATTTACAATGGCACTTTGATTTGTCTCTTTCTTCCAACAAGCTGCTGGATGTATTTTCTTTTTTTAAATGTTGTTCAGATTTGGACCTTCTGAAAAGAGTTGTGTGTCTTTTAACCTATATTTAAAACACACTGACCTTTAGCAAGAGAATAACCTTTTTACTCTCAAGTGCCACTTTAATGTGATGCCTGCCTGACACCAGGGAACCCTTTCTTAATTGTGAGGCTTTTGGCTACTGTATTCTTTAGCCTATCTGGCGTGCAATTCTTTCCAAATCAAGCACTGATGACTTTAAATAGCCTAATTCTGCGAGATTCTGTCAAACTGACCCATCCAATTGTCCATCTGTGTAGGACCAATCGTATCTCATTTGAACCATCAGCGTAACATCGTAACATTTTACTTTGCGGTTATCTGTGTTGGGTAATTAAATTAAACCTTGGGACACATTATCCTACAGGCCTATTTGTGTTCCGTCGCCAGTAACAACAATGTACAACTGAGTGTTTTGCTGCCACTAGATGGGGCTAGAGCACTGACTAACCCTGCTTCACCCTGTGAACCACAACATTGGATCCTATGCAGTAAAATGCTGTGGGAGCCTGGTGGGAAATTCGGAGTCACCTAAATAAAAAGGTGTAATTAACGCGATGCGCTATTAATTGCATCTGTTATAGAGACGATGAAGGGCGCCAGGCCGCACTTGTCTGATTTGTGGCCTCTCAAAGTGCTCTCGAAACATTACAGGCCGAATCTGCTCGTGTCACCTAATGCCAAACATCCAAAAGGAGCTCAAATAGGCCTGCTCCTGAGACTGAATGCCATCTCAAATCAGAGGCCTATTTTCAACTACAACAAACTCGTGGGCGTTTAATGTTTAACTTTAAGACATGCAAAATGCGTAGATGGGACAATAAGATGACCATTTTTGTTCTATAATAAAATAATAAGAGGTGCTTGTGAGGCATACAAATAGTGCGCAATCAAATGTTGGTTCTCAAATCTCAATTGATTTTTAATATTTATTTATTTATATTTATTTATTTATTGGTATGTCTGAGGATTTGCATGATATAGGCTAATACCTACCTAGTTCAAACTGCACCTACATAAAGGTATCATTGGTGAAACGGTGGGAAAAGATAAAACATTGTGTTCTTTCACATGGGCAAAACACCTGGGAAAAGCCAATGGCATTTTCAGTGGGCCCAGGCCTTTACATTAACACAACGTGCCACACTGATAAATGTGAAAGTTGAATAAATAGGCTACATGTCTAGTCTCCTTTACTACTACACATTTTGATATTTTCGTCTGTAAAAAGTTACGCATTTTGGTCACATTTGAAATATGTCAAAATATTACGTTAGCCTGGTAAATTATATATGGTGTATTGTGTATTTTAGATACACAAAACACCGCAGAATCTTATTAGTAAAGACAGTATTTAGATAAGGTGTTTTTCTGTAAAACAGCTCCTGTGTTAACACTGATGATCTGTTTGGTTCTGAGGAAAACATGATATTTCTTTGTTCGTTGTTCGTTTGCGCACACAGATTTGACTGCATAAACCAAAAGTATATTAAAAGCTCAGGTTGGTTTGGAGTTCGGCGTTGGTCCTTACAGAAAGCCGCAGATGATGACAGATGTGCGCTTGTTCTCAGTCAGAGCTGTGGTGCCTGAGCAGCCCGGGGCAGGAACAACACATCACGGCATTACAACGTGCCATTCATCAGCCCTCACTCTCCTCCAGCAGTAAGAGGAGAGATGCATGGCACCGCAGCTGTCAAACTATAGCGAGGCTCACACCGTGGAAATGAACATATAATAAAAGGCTTTAGTTTGGAAAAAAGCTGTTTAATATCAACCCCATCATTTAAAAATGTGCAAGTCCGTAAAGTCCGTGTGGCGCAAGATGAGGCACCTACAACAGGCGCTTCTCGCCAGTGCTTCCTCGAGCCCAAGTTCATCCGGTGAATATGACAGAGCCTAAATCACCCAGAAAACAACAAGGCAATGCTGATTGCTACAGCTCTACGTGCCACACTTTCCACTGAACCAGAATCTAAAATTAAAGCTACTGAGGATTGGTTTTGTGTTCTGCATGGGGAAAATGACGAAGACAAAGGCTGCGACAGATTGTCCCTGGATCTCTGCGCAAAACCAAACACAAATCTCCGGAGAAAAGATGTATATACATTGAACTGTGGCGCTCCATGTGACGGTTTATTGGCAATTCGCATCTGAAAGTACTAAATTAAATATCTGTCTCTCTCTGTTCTAAAAACAAAACATAACCATTCCCATATATATTTGTGTCATCTATAAAAAGCAATAGAATAAATTACAGTCTCAGTAAAAAAATAAAAGGAGGAAGAATGGGCAAAGTAAATCAGGGTATTATCAGGTACAAAGCAGCTAAAAACAAAACGGCTGCAATGGGATGCCAGAAAAACACCAAATAAACAACCAATTCAATATTTTTGATCATATGCTTCTGTTTTTCATTTATGCACTTTTATTCGGGGCCTTGTTTTACCACCTACCCCCTCATGTTTATATTGATCTATTTAAGCATTTATTTACTTAGTAACAATATGAATTATAATTGATCAATTTCTATAGCAAACATTACTTAAAAATATAAAAAAATAAATAAATGTTTGGACTGCTGTGATTTTAGAAAATTGCTTCCGTGGGATGCTTTTGACAGACCGTGCATAATGTACATTATAACAGCAAAGATCTGTAATTCGCATTTATTAATATGCAATAACATTGCATAAATATTTATTTTAGCTTGTAAAGCATTTTGGCAGGTATGCGTAAAAACTATCATCTTTGTAATGACATGACAAATTAACAAATCAGACTGTATTGAAAATTGGTCACATTAATTTAAAATCCTCAGATAAAACATAACGGTGTCAAGGCTATTTAGGCAGATCAAATATAATCTACATTTCAGTGGGATGATACCTATAGTTTGTTGAATACAAAATAAAATAAAAATTATATTGTTGTAAAGAAAATTTTAAAAGTGCTCCAGTGAAAAAAAAAGGAAAAGGGAAAGGAGACTTTTTAAAAAGTTATACAATATTTACAAAAGTGAATCCAGATGCTCTGAGAGTTTTAATAGCCCTACGTCCCTCTACTGTACCATCATTAGTGGTGTGTGGAAAAGTTCCAGATAATCCAATCGCAGGGAGGGGGGCCAGTAATCAAGGCTTTGTGGCGTGAAGGTATAGTGGTCTTTTTGTCTGATGTGGGAAAGGTCATAGACCTTTCTCTAATAATAATAATAATAATAATAATAATAATAATAATAATAATACACTGTATGACCTGCACTTTCCTCAACGCTGCTCCTGGACTGACATGTGGGACCCAGGCCGTTGTCCCTTAGCTGGACACCTTTAGAGGCTTCTACTCCACTCAATTAGCGACCCCCTATGCCCTCCAGACGCCCACTCGTCACTGCTGGACGCCATGAAACTAATCGCCATTTTCACTTTTACGCACAACCAAAATATGAGCAGGATGAAGTGCAGGGGGTAAAAACTGCTAAGAAACGCACCTATACCTTCAATTTAAGTGCGCACACGCTCCCTCCCTGTTTAGTCAGAATGCACAATAGGGGCAACACCTTGAAACTGCGTCGACTCAAGTCACAGTGCTGGGCATGTATCCTCAGAGAACAGCGCGTGTCCCCACCAGAAACCCACTGCAGATGTACTTTACTGCATCTATTATACATAAAACACCCACTATTTCAGTCATAGTCCAGTGGTTTACATATAACCTTGAGGGATAAATAAAAACAAAGGACGAGTCCTGGAGTCCGCGTTCACTGGACCGGGGTCTGGACCCCATGGTGCGGTGGCGTGTCCCCGTACACATCCTCGCTCCCGGGCAGCGCTCCTCCCGGGGGCGTCATGCGTTTCTCTTTCTGTCTCCTGTTACAAAACCAAACCCGAACTACTTCTTTCTCCAAGTGAAGACTGTCCGCCAGGGAGATAATTTCCGACGCTGCTGGTTTTGGGCACTTCAGAAAATGGCTCTCCAAAGCTCCTTTTACGCTTACCTCAATCGAAGTCCGTTTTTTTCGTTTCCTTCCTTGCGCTGCTATTTTGTCTAAGCTCGTGGGGCTGCCCGACGTAGAGTCCGCCTCTTCCAGCCACTTGTTCAACAGAGGCTTGAGCTTGCACATGTTTTTGAAGCTGAGCTGCAGGGCCTCAAACCTGCAGATAGTGGTCTGGGAAAACACATTTCCGTACAGAGTTCCGAGTGCAAGACCCACGTCCGCCTGCGTGAAGCCAAGCTTGATCCTGCGCTGTTTGAACTGTTTGGCAAACTGTTCCAAGTCATCTGACGTCGGCGTGTCCTCGTCTGAGTGTTCGTGGTGGCTCTGCGGCCGGTGCTGGTGCTGATGTTGGGACTGCGCGTGCGAGTGCTCGCTGAGATGCGGGCTGTGGTGCTCTTCATGACCGTCTCGGAGGCTGCTGTGGTGGGACATAGCCTGACCACTGCCCGGCAAAAGCCCGTTGACACTAAAGCCCGGCTGGGAGTAGATCAAGCTCTGACCGTTTGTGCTCGCCATGCTCGGGATGTGTGCCGCGGTAGTGGTCCTCCACGCGCGCGCATCGTGATGGTTCCCGTGATGCACCAGGTGGCGCGTTTGATGCTGCAGGTTGCCACTGGAACTGTTGTTGTGCATGTCCTCTCTGGCACCCTGCACCGTGGGCTTGATGTCCTGTTCTGCCCACGGTGTAGCCTCTCCGTGGGACAGTGCCGTGATCCACTGGTGCGCGTGGCTCAGCGCGTGGCTGTTGGTCTGCAGCGGGTAGTCGCCCTGCAACAGGCTTTGTGCGTCCCGGTACGCCGTGGCTTGCTGCATGCCGCCGGGCTCCGCGTGCACGATGGACGCGCTGGACGTGAGGATGCTGTAGTGGTTAGACGCTGCGGTCGCCATGACTCCCGGAGCCGGACTGCTTGCTCTTACGGAAGCCGCGTCGCATTTGACAGAGCCTCTCTGCCACAGGCGGCTCCCAGGCGCTCTGCCAAGCGGACGCCAAGGCGCACCTGGACCGAGCCCCACCTCCTCCGCGCTCATTGGATGTTGGAGCGTGATGGACGTGGTTACCAGGAGCAACCGAGTGGCGATTGGCTGCGGGGATGTCTCCGCGAACACTAGGGTCTTTGTTGGAGAGGTGCGAGCTGGGGCTCCAGTGGAAGTGAAGCTGGAAAGCAGCGTGGGGCGAGGAGCGCGCGGAGCTGCGGGTGACTGTAAAGGCACAGCTGATTTCCTTTGATGTGGTCAGTTTCCAGCACCATGCTGGAGCTGTAGGACTGTCTGACCCGGAATCTATGCATGGACCGAAACCTAGATGCACTGTTCTTTCAAGGTTCAGATCACTGAGTGTTACCTTCTTATAATGCACATAAACTTGTTTTTTGTAATTTACTGGCTCAAGATAACTTATTTATAAATCATCATGCAAGTCAGACCTTTTCCATTTTTCTTTACAAAAATGTTGCAGATTTTTTGAAAGTTTTTGATGAATTGTTTTTCACTGTATATTTAAACATTGTTAATGTTTACTTAACAAAGCAGTCAGAAAATGATCAGATCCACAAAGATCAATGACAAAAACAGTTATATAGACTACGCTGTTGAAATTAATATGTTGATGATGTGAAAATTTGACCAAAATTTTTTTCCTAATAAATACATGTTTATTACATATAAACCTATTGTAAATCTAAAAATACAAATCTAATAAATCATGATAATTTGCAGATTTTAATAGATATAGTTAATACCATTGCTCAAAGAGTAAACAGATTTAGTTGACAAGGTTCTTTTTTTTTATTTTCTTTTTTTTATTTACATGACAAATCCAGAATTTACAGCATCAAAGCTTGTTTTGAGGACCACTGAGAGCTATCCATGATTCTTTACATTTCCAAAGCTCTGGCCCAGCTGCTGTATGTGCCTACAGCTCATCTTCAGAGAGAAGGGACAGACTGAAGTGAAGAGGCGGATTAGACCAGGCCCTGAGTCCAGACCAGTCCAGAGCGGGGCAGCTGTCGTCCCCCCAGCGTTAGCTTTGAGGACGGGACATTGTCCAGAGAGGGGACATTCCTGGCTGGGCACTGCTGGTTGCCATAGGGAGAGGTATAAATGAAAGGAAGGCGTTGGTGTGGCTGCAGCTCCCCCTGCTCCAGGACAGTCTAAAGACCTCTTTTTAGAAAGACTCTGCTGCTAGGACAATGCCTTCTCCGGGGCAGGGGGAGGAGGGGTGAAGAGAAGCACCCCTCTGTACTATGAAGGCCGAAAAACTGAAGAAAAAAAAAAGGGAGAAATCTTTAAGTCCCTGCTCAAACCCTAATACAACTAGATCATGAGTAAATTATAAAGAAGTGTAAAAATCAAACTTCAGAGAAACCTATATTAGCTGTGCAAATTATAACTTACATTAAACAGAACAATTAAATCTAAAAGAAGTAAAGTAGCAGAAACTGGCCACAAATTAAAGCTATACATCAATGACGACAGTGCTTCAGTCTCAACAATTCATGACTTCGGAAATAAACGTATGCAAATGACTTAAACTGTAATTAGACATTTTATTTAATAACACACAGCTAGCATTAAAATTAAAAGCACAAAAAGTAATTATCACAGAGATATTTTAGAAAATAGACGGGAAATGGAGAAAAAAGAAAGTGAGCTTTAGGCCTTACACAGTAAGTTTCAAAGTTCAAATTTGGTACTTGGTTAGCATGTAAAATAAAGCACATTCAGCTGTGGTACAATACAATATTATGTGTACAAACATTGTATAATGAAAGGAAAAAAAGTCTGAAATTCACAACATCAATATTCTATCATAAAATTTAAACTTCACTTTGACACAATTTTCATTTGACTTTATTTTGTATTGTCAACTTATCACCAGTTGGCGAAAGATCTACCAGATAATTATATCCCCTAAATCTCTATAAATACAAATAAAAAAGTAAAAAGCTTTTAATTTAACTATTACAGAAGTTGTGCGTCTGTTTACAACGTCATGATGAGAAACTGAAAATGATGATTTTAGCTGTTACTGTAGCCATTGATTTAAAGCACTAATTGGACCTTTATTGCATCTGATTTTACTGATAATAATCCTGTAAGAACACAGCTGCGCTTAAAGGGAAGTGCTTGGTTTAAGTCAGAGTAGGAAAAGTTTCTAGGCACGGCTCAGTAATTCATTCTGGTAATACTGAACATTATTGTGGCGTAACACTGAAATCGGCCAAATCAAAAGAACATTGTGGTAATTAGACTGTAATTCAAGGCATTACCATATCGCCACACAGGCTTAAATAGTCGTGTTGGGAGAAACGCAAAGCACATTATTTTAATGGTGTAATATGCAAACTACGGCTCGTTTCAATTACATGGCTTAACAATGCATAAATGATGCAAGCCTTGTTATTTGGACTGCGGGGTCCTGGGTTAGTCCCTCACATGGGCCGCTGTTGGGCTATGTCAGTACAGTAGAAGTCATGGGCACGAGAGTGGCTGCCAAACTACATTTAAGGGAGTACAAATGAACAGCGAGAATGTAAGCGTTAAATTAACAGTAGGATAATTATATGACCCGTGTGCTGTAAAGATTCAATTTCTGAGGCTTTAATTAGGCGACTGTCTCCCTGTACTGTACCAGCTCACAGCCCGCTGCCAATTTCTCACCAGCAAGCATCCTACAAGCGGAAATAATTAGATTTTATTAAGACATGGCTTGGGTAATAAAGAAAATCAAAGGCAGGGCTGCATAAGCATGATATGTTTTTAAAATGTTTCACAGGCAGTCCACTGAGTCCAATTCATACAAGGACAGGTCTATCATTGTTAGCAGTGTGTCATATTGTACACTGACCACTGTCTACAGAAGGAGGAAGATCTGGTGACTTTTTTATACACTCGCTGAACAAGAAGGGATTGCTCAAACACTGGTTTAAAAGCCCCACTGCATCCTGGGACGTGTTGGCTGTTATTACAGGTGATAAAACACAATGCTATACAATCAGATGTTTAACAGCTTAGTATTAAGTGCCACAGAGCGAGAAACTGTCCCATTTGGAGCATTATTGGTTTATTACAGAAGTGGCTTTAGGGAGCAATCCCTGCTAAAAGGATAGTACTTTGTATTGTGTGACAAATAGAAAGAAAATCAACACAGAGGCTATTGTCAATACAGGAGAGATGTCTATTGAGCTCGCATGGGACTTCTTTTTTCCCTCCACAATATAAATAATCTGTGTAATCCTGACAAATATATACACTTTATCCAGGCATGGGACAAGCATAAAGAAAAAAACTTTTAAAATGGTACTATTACTTTTTTTCGCTTTTCACAAATAGTTTAAAGCATTTTTTGTCATACTTAAATAATTGTTTTTCATTGCAATTTTGTATAGTATTGCACAGTGCAGTAGAAATCAAATGTTAAAATAAAGTTTGTCATTTAAAGCATGCCCAAGTAGAGCGCATGTACAGAGAGCTAAAACTTCCACTAGTTTCTATTCAAGGGCAGTGCGTTTCAAAGCAATAACAAAGACATTGAGGCTTCATTTCTGATTAGCCGTTCAGATATCAAGGTGTCTTACGTAATCAGCCCCGCGTTGGCCCTCCAGCTTTCATCTCTACTGTAATTGTTGTGTGCATCAAAGCGATCGGGAGCGGACTGACAGTTTGTATGGGAGGAATAAAACAGCGGGCGAGTGACGACATGGGGAGAGAGAGAGAAGGGGGAGGGGCCTTACAGGAGAAGGACATATCGGCCTGAAGAAAGGAAACTGGAGAGGACTCAAAGTGGGAGCGAGTTAACGAGTGGGACAGTGTTAATTGTGTGCATTGTGCGTTTTCTCTATTGGCGAGTGCGTTCGTAGAGCAGCAGCCCGCCGACACCACAGCCAGCTCTCAAACCCGTGTATTCCAACGCAATTAGGCCACTCAAAGACCTGCTTAAACCTGCACCCCCACTGCATAGAGCGGCGGATAGCTGCAGCTCCTGTGGGTCCCCTCCATTGTAGCGAGGAGGGGTGTGCTCTGTCCCCCTTTGAGCTCTGAGGCCCGGGATGAAGAGACCACCCCTGGGAGTAGGAGAAAAAGGAGGGATTATACCTCTTTTTTGTCTGTGCCGTTCACTCACTTTTTATCTTTCTGCTTTAGGAGTGCACCTCAGTCTCACAGCTGCGAAAAGTAGAAGTTCGTTTTATATGCAACACCGTTAAACTGTACAGTCTCATCACTATCTTGATATTTCAATTCACTTCTGTTACTTTTCTAGAAAAGATGGTAATCATTACTTCATCATTACTTAAGTAACAGTAAATACAGTACTACTAAGAATTGTATCTAAACAACCTAAATTATTAGTTTGACCAAAAAGGTGTGGCTGTGTGAAATAAATGTGCATACTAGTATAAGTACTTCTGACACTTCTATCAGAAGTACAAAGAAAGAAAGAAATGTACAGAAAAAAGCTGCATGGCAGAGATGGTCACACAAGCCTGTACTTCCCCTTTCCCATTTCATTATTCAGAGTCATATATTTCAACAAGTGGCATCTCCGTTTGCACCAGTGCCAGTCAGCGGGTCCTCTCTGCGCGCAGCGTTAAGAGAAAGCTCCTCGCGATAGCAACGTTTTCTTTTGGCTGCCTTTCAGCGTGTCTCATATCCCCCTGAAAGCATTTAAAAGAGATTACACTACACCTCCCCAATAAGAGGAGAGAGAGGGGCAGATAGAGAGGGGGAGAGATAGAGAGGGGCAAAACTGGCACATTCACACCTGCAATACAACTCAATGGCATCATCAGATTAACAAGGTAATCCACACAATGAGCTCTTTGATTCGTGCAGTTTTGGCAGGCAGAGACGCCAAGCATAATGCACGCTGTTATTTTGGGCCGTCCCAGCACGAGGGAGCCTGGCAGAGCATGTTCCCTTATTCTGTTCAGAGAAGATTTTAAAGTGCAGTGTGGTGCCAGCGTCCTATCCTACAAATTATTAGGAAGATGTTTTTCAGGGAATTTGAACACGTCT